ATATATGTATGTACATGATAAAGCTGAATTTTTAAATCATTCTAGATGTGCTGATTTTGTGTTCAGAAAACAAGAAAACATTTCTTATGATCAGTGTTGAAAACAGCCGTGCTGCTAATTTTGGTTGAAACAGTGATCATTTTTTTTAAGGTTTAAAAGCATTTATTTGAAATATAAATCTTTTGTAACACTATAAATATCTTCACTGCCACTTTTAATCAATTTAATGCATCCTTGATGAATAAAAGTATTATTGACCCCAAACTTTTGAAAGGTAGTTTATGTTTCAGAGATCATACCCAAAATTGAACTAAATCTCATTTCTTCTTTTTGTATTTGTATTTTGTGGTTGTGTAACTTCCTTTTAGGTCTCTCCGGGTTCTATGTTACTGATGCGAGTTGTGGAAGACTTCATTCATCTAATTGGAGAGGCTCAAAAGCCATTCCAGAGCTTTCTGGTCGTCACCAACAACCTCAGTAAGTTCCCATGGCATCCACTAAAGTGCCACAAGTAAAGGTCATGTTGGCCTCCGGTGCAGATCTCTTAAAGGTACTTCCATGAGGCGTTTAATATTTGAACTGTTAATCTGTCTTTCTCTGGTTCTGTCAGTAATCACCATCCAGCGAGAACCGGTTTCGGCTGTTTCCAGTGACATCAATTTCCCCATGAAGGGGAGGAGAGGAATGAAAGACTGGGCACGTTCTGCAGACGACAAACTCTTCATCCCCAAAGAAGTCTTCACTCTGTCTTCTGATGGTAAGTGATATAGAATGTGTTGGGTTAGTGCGATAGTGATCTTGCAGGTTTAATTCCAGCTTGAAACATTTTCTAATCTTGCCACTGTCTTACTGTTTATCCAAGACAGAAGCAAATAGTTTTAGTTATGCCTAAATGTGATATGTACAATGTGTAAATATACACTATTGTGTGGGTTGTTTTCAATTATCATGTTGTTTTTGTGGTAACAGTATGTGAGTTGCACTGCATCTCTGCATGCAGCTCCATCATTGTTATTAATGAGATCCTTTGGTATCAGCAGCGGTTCTGAGTGTCCCGTCAGGGTTCTGCTACTTAATGTGTACAGCTCTGGCGTCCTAGCATGTTATATGACTCTCTTCTCTGTCACATTTAAGGGTTTTAAACATCTTTTTCCTGTCTTTTTGCCATCCCTCCTAGAACATGTACGCACTGCCAAGTTCTGAGCATTGCATCCGCATTAAAATGCAGGAATGAGTCACCTAAATCAGTGATGCTCAACAGACTTTACATTGGATGTCTAGCAGCGACCAAATACAGTTTCAAATTTGTTTGAATTATTAAATTGAGTTTTGATGATGTCATGCTCTTAGCAGCCAACTATTCACTGCACAGAATGCATTGTGGTTAGTACAGACTATTTTCTTATTGATTGCACCCATATTTATGTAGTCTGGATTATATTTTAATTTACCTTGTGTAGTTTTGTTAGTGAGTTTGGAGGATAAAAGCATGTCACAGTCACACGGTCTGTCCATCTATGCAAATCTTCTACAGTATGACAGACAGAACTTGTGCCAGGAGATTTAATTAGGGAAACTTTAATGTCAACAACAAAAGCTATGGGAAATGGGAACCTTTCTTTTAAAAGTTGAGAAGCTTAAAGGGATAGAAATGTTGTCATTATTTATTCACCCTCATGTTGTTTCAAACCTGTATATGTTTCTTTCTTATGTTGAACATAAATGAAGATATTTTGAAGAATGCTGCTAATCAAACAGCTGATGGTCCCCATTGACTTCCATAGTATTTATTTTCCTACTGTGTAAGTCAATGGGGACCAACAGCAGTTTGGTTCTTCAAAATTATTCAGAATATCTTCTTTTGTGTTCAGCATTAGAAAGAAGCTTATACAAACTTGTACACAAACTTGTACACATTTTTGGGGTGAACTATTCATTTAAGTTTATTTTGTGGTCTTGACTATATATAATAATATGGCTATTTATTATTGTTAGCTAGCTAAATAGCATTAAGCGTTGTTTTTCTGTCAAAACAGTCCTGACTGCAACTTTTGGGTCAAAATTGTACCTGAATTCACTTGAAAACAGGAGTTAAGGAATGGGACAAAAATAAATGCTTTCCTCCTCATATTATTACCATTACCAGTTTTCGCAATCATGCTCAAATGTTTTGCGCGAAAATACAAAGTTTCTCGGGGGAATGCAAAAGTGAACACAAAACTAACTTTGAAATTAAACTAATTTCTTCTCCCATCTCATATTTTTTCTGTAACCATGTCAGCTTCTGTATTAATAAGACCATCCTGTAAAATATTTTGTTTGCACGATTTGAGCAAATTCTGTAGCTCCATTGTCTTTAGAATTTATTGCTAATTTACCATTTGCTATTCAAACATCTTTCCTCATTCAAGTAGATATAGGAACTGTAATTATATACCCATTTCCTGCAATGAAATTAGCTACCAAGATGGCCGTCAATTGTCGTTTTCTGTGTGTACTGGTCAGACGAACTCCCATTCTCAGATAAATAACCAAACACAGTGTGTACAATTCTTAGCAGCATTAAGCTGTGGTACGTACAGTCGTGTTTAGCTGACTGCAGAGAAGAACTGAATTCAATCAGTCTGTGGTTTGGGAAGAGACAGAGAACACGGTTGAGAGAATAGGAAGAATAAATGGGCCAATGAAATCATAGTGATCTGCCAGCATGACAGGCACTCAGTCCTCAGACTTCTAAAGATAGGGGGGAAACGAGAGATATTCTGCCTGAGAGAATGAAAACACAGGATGTGGGCAGGGAAGAGCTGGTTTGAAGGCTGAAGAGAGTGCTGAATGAAATGAGAAAGAAACAAACGGACATCAAAGAAATGACCATTATTGCTAGTGTCTCGTTGAGTGTCTCAACAACTCCAGGCTAAACCATTACAGACCTGCTTGCCCGTGGAGGACCGCCCAGCAGGAAATAACAAACGCTTCCTGACTCGACACACTCCCCATTCTGCCCACTGCCATCGGAGATAAGATGGCTACCTGGGCAGAGCTTTGTCCGGAACGGTTTTCTATTGAAAGAAGGAAAGGTTCATCAGGGCCCTTTCTCAAAATAGCATTGTTGAAGTGATAGCTCAGAGAATAGAGGGAAGATAGAAGTCAGGCTCCATTCAGACCAGACCAACAGGGCTTGTTGTGTGATTGTCATCCATTAACTCATAGTTTAACATGCAGTCAAAAGCGCTGTGGAGCTGATTGGCATTTGATTTGCTGAGTCTGATGAGAACTGCAGTATTGCTGGATGAGTCACGGCATTTGTCCTGTGACATCCATGTTCTCAGTGAAGGGACGATGCATGCCTCCCTTTATTCCTCCTTTGACAGAAAACTGAGCTAAAAGAGTCTGTTTTGTTGGTCTTTCGAGATTCTGGGCATTGAATTATGATTTTAGTTATTTTTAGCGCATGATGGTCCAAAATAGAACTGCCATTAAACTTAATGTGTCTGTCTGAGGGGATCTTTCAATGACACAAAGTTCGGTTTGTTTTTTTATCTTCACTGTGCTAAAGACAAAACAAATTATTGAGATATCATTAGGTAATAATAAGTTTTTTTAATACTGTGTGTATGTATTATATGTGTCTATGGTAGCTAGCATAATTTCTGCCCACTATTAATGTTAAATGTGTAAGCATCAGTGCTGGTGTTATTAACAAAAAATAAAATAAAATAAAATAAAATTTAAAAAATCAAAAGTGCAAAGGTTTGCTATTTGAAATAAAGCTGAAAAATGACAAATATTAGATGAAATGATATACTATAGACTATATAACTATAGAAACTATAACTCTCGTGTCAAAAAACTATAACAAAAAATAACAACAACAAATAATTTTAAGTTGAAGTATTAAAATTATTAAAACTAATAAAATAGATAAAAAGATAAAACATGAATACATAAAATATGACAACACATAACAATAACTAAAACCTAATTTAAAATGAAAATAAAACAGAAAATTAAAAAAAAAATCAAAATTATATAAAAATCTATAATAGAACAAAACATTTTCAAATGTATATAGATATGAACATTTATTTTCACAATAAATATGCATTATCATGTTAAATACAGTATTTTTTAAAAAACTGTTAAACATATTTAATAAATGTTCTAAGGTTCTAAACCATAAACAACTTTGGAGAGGTACATGTATATGCTAATGAGATCACGTTATTCACTCATACTTGGTGACAAGTGTATTCTTTTGCATCAGAGAGTATGCATATTGTGTTCAGTGATTTTAACAAGCTCTATATTTAAGCTAAATTATTAAACCTAAAATTTCATAATGTCAGTGGAAATTGCAGCAGTGATTCAGCCATGCTTGGCCGAGTTTCTCTTCATGAAATTTTTCAGTTAAATCAGAGCCTCTGAAGTGCCTTAGAACAGGGCTAAATGCTCATTTTCCATCTCTGTATGAACTTTGAATAGCTGTGAGGACTTTCAGTGCCGCATGAGAACAACAGAGCAATGAAATGTGGACTTTAGGCCTGTTACATCACCAATTACTGTATCACTTTCACTTTGTGTCCGAAGCATGTCCTCCATAAGTGAAATATGATGGAATTTACTCAGGGACGAGTCTCTCTGGAGGCCCACAGCGTTTCGAGGAGAAGAAGAATTGGATGAGACTGAGGAGGGATGGAGAAGAAAGAGGTCCTTGATAAATAGTGTTTCAGAAAAGAACAGATGATGAGGTTCATGTGGAGGCGAGGCACTCGTGCAGAGGAGAGAACAAAACAAATGATATGAAAAGCACGGAGATGTGTGCTGCTGAAACAGGGCTATGGAGCCAGTGGGGAGGAGTGGACAGTTGGCCTGGGAACACAATCGGTGGTCATATCTCTATGAATCCCCTCCTTTCTGTGTCTTTTAAATGTCAGGCTTTGTACTGACTCTCACTAAGAGTTTTCTTAAATACCCTTCCTTTATATTGTGCTTTGTGTTTTTGGTTCCTTCAACTGGAGCTGTATATTATGATCATAAAATTGTTGAGATGTGTTTTTTTCCTTCGTATTTGAATATGAGTATGTGGATCAGTGACATGATGCTCAGTTTTTTTTTTTTTTGTCCTGTGTATTAATGTACACATAGT